ACGGTTAGTTTCTAGAGCCTTTTTTGAGCTAATTTTTTGGTCTTTTCTTAGCTTTCTCTTGGCTTTGGGGTTTCATATAAATACCCCCTTATACCTCAGTTTTAGAAGCAATCTAAGAAATGTTTTAAACAAGTTTTAAAAGAGTTTAAGTTTGGTTTTAAGTTTGTTTAAGGGTTTGATTTGTGAAGAATTCCACAAGAGGAAGTGGAGATCAATTCATTGATATTTGAGCTTCATTCCATCTCTCTCTCTCTCTTGTCATCTAGAGAAGTTTTCCTAAACTCAATTCTAGCTTTTATTTATAATTATTTATTGATTATCATTTCTATTAAGCTAGTATTTACATTTAAGTTTAGTTGATTTTATTTCACTCATTGTTTACACACACCCACTTGAGCTTATTGTATTTTCATATATAGTATATTTGGGTTGGTGAGATTTGCAACAATTGAGTGTGAGCTTATATTGTGTTCTCATCCATATTAGAGAACAAATTAATTGTATTATGAGCCTATTCTGAGATTCACTTTGTATTACACTAGTATACCGAGAGGAGTGTGTGGTGAGAGACGGGGTCGCTTCCAAGAGGAGTAGCGTCGGTTGACGAACCTAGGGAGATGTTGTATCCGAGCACTTGAGGAAGGACACGGACTAGAGACCAACACTTAGAGGGTGTGGAGTATAGTTACATTGTGAGATTATGAACGTTGATCGGTGAGCGTTGAAAACCGATATTGTGTGGTGTAAACGTTATTCAGGTTAGCATAGAAAACCCGGTTGTGATAGTGGATTTCTCCCCGGGAGTGGGGAGCGAAGACGTAGGACGGAAGGTCCGAACTCCGTGATCATATTGTGTGTTTGCATTGTTTATATTGCCCTATCACAATTGTATCTTTAGTTTAGATTGTTTACCCTTGTGTTGTTTATATATCCTTGCATATATTTCACCATATAGGATATATCTCTTTGTTCATATTGCATATTCTTGCTCATAACATATTGTATATCTATCTTGCAAGAATAATTTATTAATTAGTTTTAATTGGCATAAAATCGGATTAGATTAGCATAAGACCCTAATCACCCCCCCCCCTCTAGGGTCTAACACCTCCTTCCTCTCTCCTAACCTAACCCTAATCTTCCTCCTCTCTCCCTCTTCCTCCTCTCCTCCTCTAAACTTGTTGTCTCCCTCTCCCACCTCCCCCTCTGCCATTATCAAACTTAAGCACACCCTTCAACCCGTTGTCTCCCTTTCCTACCTCCCTCTCAGCCACAACCGACCTCGAGCACATATTTTAACTAGTTCAACTCTAATGACAACGAAAAGATCTCCTCCTCCAAGCTCTCCGCCATCTTCTCCTCCCACGACCACCCCCTCTCGTCCTCTAAACTCTCCCCCATGACGGATGAGACCATCACCTCCTCAAAATTATCTACAACCTCCTCTTCTCTCCCCTCCATCATTTCTCTCAAACAAATCTCATGATTGTATTATTTATAATTTTACTTCTTAGTGGTAAATTAGAACTTGCTAGTTTATTTTTAATTGAAATGGATGAGTGAGATTTATTTTCTTGGAGTAGTTTGTTAAAAAGGTATATGATATGTGGCGGTTTGGAGATTGCACAAAACAATATTAATAAAATGCCAAAGAGAAATATGGTTTCTTAGACTGTGATAGAAATGGACCGTGTATAAAGAAAATATCAAAAAAATATCAAGGTGACCTTGCTTCTTTTTCCTTAGGGTTTCTTTGTCCACTTCCTTCCCTAAAAATATAAACTTTATAATATACAACATAACTTAACAGGCAGCGACATATCCGTAATAGGAAATGACTTAGATTTAACACCAAATTACTTGAACTTTATAAGAAATTACTTAAAATTAACATAAAATAAGTTAGACTTAACACGAAATAACTTAAACTTCACAGAAAATGACTTAGACTTTACATGAAATATGGTACCCTTAACAGGAAATGACTTAACTTTAATAGCAAATCACTTAACCTTAACGCGAAATGTGATAACCTTAATAGGGAATAAGATAACATTAACAGCACGATCATGAAAGCATATACTTTACCTCATTCCAGGAAAGAATGTATTTGCCCAGTTCTCTGGAGTGTAGTTGATAAAAACATTACATGCTCTTTCATTTATTTTCCCTTTTTCACTTTTTCCTAGGGTTTCTTTGTCCACTTCCTTCCCAAAAAATCACGATGTTATAACATACAACATAATTTAACAGATCCATAACAGGAAATGACTTAGACTTAATACGAAATGACTTTAATTTCACATGAAATTACTTGAACTTTATAGTAAATTACTTAGACTTAAACACGAAATCATTTGAACTTCATAAAAAATAACTTAGACTTAACACAAAATGTGGTACCCATAACAAAAATGGCTTAACCCTAATAGGAAATGACTTAACTTTAACACGAAATGGGGTAAACTTAATAGAAAATGACTTAACATTAGTAGGGAATAAGGTAACATTAGCATGAGGATCATGAAAGCACAGACTTTACCTAATTCCAATAAAGGATGTATTTGCCCAGTTATCTAGAGCATAGTTGATTATAATATTATATGCCCTTTCATTTATTTTCCTTTTCTGGTTTTTCCTATTATTTGTCCACTTCCTTCCCAAAAAATCATAACTTTATAATATAAATACATAACTTAACATGCAACAACATGTATTGTGCAAGCTTATCAATTGTGCTATAAACTTACATACACTGAGTAAGTTAACATATGACAAAGTCAAATACAAGTAAAAATTATTATCAATCAAAAGGACTCAAATAACAAAGCTTAGTTAGAAGTTCAATAACAGTAGACCCTTTAACTTGCCAACAAATCCAAGTTCATCCTCCAAAAAGAATATTAATTAGATAAAACACCTCCAATAAGAGGAAGGCAAGGACATATAGCAGTAAATGTAAAGATAAAAACATGTAATGTCTTTCTTTGTAAGTGAAAGCCTAGCCCCCAACTAGCTCATTTAGCCTTTCTCAAGAAGCTTCTAAATGATCGGGTCATATAAGATCTAATTACGAGTGAGTCAACATCTTAAGAGATGAGTGATGAAAGAGCCCATTAACATCAAAATAGATCAACCGCCTTTGTTCCTTCATGTCCTTGCTAATTAACAACAATCACAGTGTTCCACAAAACAAAAGTTCTGTGAGTCATTTAATCAAACAAGTGGTAAGCAATCATCGTGGTCCATGAATACGTCGCCTCAGAGTCGGTCTCGGTCATCATGCATGAGGGTTTAGAGGTGGAGAGGGGGTGGTTGAGGGAGGAGAAGATGGCAACGAGGTCGGAAGAGGAGATCTTATTATTTCTATTGGAGTTGAACTTGTTGAGGAAGCGATTGACGAAGTTGGAGGTGGATCCGGGAATAGATCCGGGTGAGAATTTTGATTGGTGCAATGGCAATGGAGGAAAGATGAGATCTTGCCCATCGGAGGAGGGGGGAGACTGTGTTAGGAGGAAGATTAGGATTAAGGTTAGAGTTAGGAGAGAGGAGAGGAGTGAGAAGTAATCATGAAGGTTAGGGTTAGTAGGGAGGAGGAGGAGGAGAGAAGGTAGGAGCAATAAAATTAACTATGGCGCCAACGACAGAGGTGGGGGAGGAGGATTTAAGAAGAGGATTGAGTTGGGAGGAGGAATAGAGAGAACAAATCTCACCATGGTTGTGATCTCCATAAGAGAGGGGGGGGGGATATTTTTGGGTTTCATGATTTTTTTTCTCTCTTTGCTTAGTTGGCAGAGGAATGAGGATTGAAACACAATATTGCCTTATATTTTGGGGTTAAGGGGCTTGGACACATCAACTTCTCTAGTTTGAGGCCTTGACACAATTTTCCGTGTATGTGTGTGTGTGTGTGTATGAGATTAATGGGTATCCTTGTCATAGGAGGGGATTTTCCTCCTTATCACCTATGTGGCACAATCCCCACCATCCTCATAAAGTAGGAGAGAGAGTGTGAGTTGGTGGGGATTGTGCCACATAGGCGACAAGGAGGGAAATCCCCTCCTATGACAAGGATACCCATTAATCTCATATATATATATATATATATAGAGAGAGAGAGAGAGAGTATTGATAATATGAGATAGCGAGCTCAAATCTTATCATGAGCTAGAGTAATCAACACATCAAATTCATAATCGACATCGTACATCTCGTTTAACACGTCATCAAATATATATGGTAATTTTTTTATACAATTTAAAGTCTTTTATAATATGAATCAAATTAGTATGATATATTGATTTTTTAAATAACTTAACAGTCATCCCTTCTACATATAGCTAAAACAATTATTAAAGATTTCCAAACAATATAACTTTTTTTATATAGATCATGATAAGTGCAAATCATGATGGGCGGTATCGAACACCGTTTCCAGTAGCCTATTAGGCTAGCTCACGATAATAATCTGAGTTCACCATCTCACTTTATCATTTTTCTACACACACACACACGTCTGAGTAGAAATAAATACCATATTTAAAAATAGGATCAAGTTATAATACTAAAATGGTAATTTAGCCATTTCAATGCCAATGATATCTTCCTATCTAATAATATCCAATTGGAATTATATCACCAAAATATAACGAATAAAAGAACTTTTGCATTTACATCAAATTCTAAGTACACAAATTCGTCAATCAGAAGCTGCAGATGTACAGTACCTTATACTGAGACTTAATTCTGGATGACAAATTAACAGGAAGTACTGTCAAAAATATTATTACTATAATAGGAAACAAAAGAGCTGACCAATGTGATAATGAATAAAACAGGAAAAAAAATCGACAGAATATTAGCTGCTGGGATTAATCAACACATTTTTTGTGTGAAGGAAGATGAGATCAAGTGATGCACATATGTGAGAATATAAAAGGAAAAAAAAAATGAGGGGAAAGAAATATGTATCAAAATGATTAATT